AAGAAATTTGTTGCATTTGGGTTCTATCCATGTTACCGTTGGTAATATGTATGTTATTTTACAGATCTCGAGATCAATTGGAGACGTATATCTGAAAAAGGCTGAATTCAACAGGGAACCATTATATCAGAAATTCCGACTTCGCGAACCTTTCAAAAGACCAATTTTGAGTGCAGAACCAGCAATTTTGGAGCACCAATTGCTGCCTCATGACCAGTTCATCATATTTGCATCAGATGGTCTCTGGGAGCATCTTACCAACCAAGAAGCAGTTGATCTCGTCCAAAACAATCCACGCAATGTAAGAAGGACATACATGTTCATGCCTTTCTAATTTGACCTGTACTGCATGTGTGAGGTGGATATTTTTATTATGATTTTTAGAGTCCTCAGCCTGGGTTTGGTTATGAAGTGCATGCTTGTATTTGTATTTGCCGTATGTTTGTGACAGCCAGTGGCCTCAAGTTCAAGCATGGAATGAATTATGAAATGACGCTCCCAAATTGTGGTTCATTAAGTTGGAAAGTGGAACTATATGAGGAAGCAACAATTGCAGCTAATTTAGGAGGAAAATGGGGAAAAACAAATTCAAGAACATAAAAATATTTTAGTATCCAGTATAGCAACATTACTATGTTTAAAAATGTGATAAGTTTTTATGAATATTTCGACGAGGGTTGATTACATTTAGTGGAGATTCTGATAATACATAACACATTAATGGAGTATGGAATTGTTTATGTCGATGAAGGTTGATTACACGCCCGATCTCTCAGGTTTAGTGCGAATCACCAATAGTTATGCACTGAACTTACTAATCCCTACTCGACATTACCTTCACTTTTACTAATTGCACTCTCATGAAGTGGGGATATTTGTTTGGTAAATCCAAATCTTTATGCTTTGGGGGCACTTTTTGTACTTGGTTAAAAAAAAAAAAGAATTAATTAATGTATTTGACAGTAAAGGAGATCGAACTTGTTTTTAACATGCAGGGGAGCGCAAGGAGATTGGTAAAAGCCGCACTACAGGAAGCGGCAAAGAAGAGGGAGATGAGGTATTCAGACCTGAAGAAGATCGACCGCGGGGTCCGCAGGCATTTCCACGATGACATAACAGTTGTGGTGGTCTTTTTCGACCCGCACCTCATGAGCAGGGCAAGTTCTGTGAAGAGCCCTACTGTTTCAGTTAAGGGAGGTGGGGTTACCCTGCCTCTCAACTCTCTTTCGCCCACTGAACCTGTTGCCACCTGATAAATGACCTGTTTAATTGTTACTTGCCTGTACTATTTTCGTTCATGTGAATACAGGATTTGTTGAAGAAAAGATAAAAAAAAAAGAAAGAAAGAAAGAGCAGGCCAGAAGTTCTTGAATTCTTTTAATGTACACCTTGTAACTCGTTTTTTATTTCTTTTTCTTCCCTTTAACTGAAGTCTAATACTTGGCATAGTTCGATAATTGGAAAAAAGGAAGGGCTCGAATATGGGTGGCGGACTTGTGAAGATGACAATTGTTATATCTGTGGTTAATGATGCAAGATCTCTATTCTGCATTATATTTGTTTGATGTGATTCTTGTACATGTTTAATCTTTGTTTTTCAGGAGTTAAATCTGATTAATTCTTATCAATTTTCAGCTATGAAGATCACTGAGGCTGCCTTGTAGTTGTGAATGAATAGAAGGAATAGGATACGTTTTTACTATTTGTTTCTCATTTGATCATATTCATGCTGAATACTCGTGGCTTTTGAGTCTGAAGGTTTAGCAGGTTTTCTTTGTGTTTCAAACTCACTTGGAAAAGTTTTTCGGATGTTCTCATTTGGAAAAAAGAAAATGAAAAAAAAAAAAAATAGTAATCCGGTTTAGACCGGGTGGATCTAGCTGTGGTATTGGTGGGTTTGGACTAAAAACCGGTTGATTTTATGGAATGTCTGCATCAACCATTTGTTTTTTGTTTGGCATGAATGAAGATTTGGTATTGGTATGGCCTTCAACATCGGGTTAAGCAAAAGATTTTGGCGTTTAAGAGTGTGTCAGACAATTTTCTCTCTAACCCATAAAATACGCCTTTTGTAATTTCCACTAATATTTTTATTGCAAATAAAAGAATTATTTTATTGGGAAATGCTACGGTCCCGGGAATTATTCTGTCAGGTTTGTGATCGTTAGATCATCCAGTAACCGTCGGAGATAATTGATATGACGATTACAAATTTTGACGAAATGGGACCGTAGCATATCCCTACTTTATTATTGTCAGCTAAATACTACATTTCCTTTATTTTTTATTTTTAACTTTAGTCTTCTGTACCACAACAGTAGACAAAAATAGAGGGTCCAATTATCAATGGCCATTATCATTTTCCAAGAATATTTCAATTTATTCATCTGAGAGCCAAAATTCACTCTTTGTAATAACGCCTCTACGGTCCAATGTACAATCAACGATTAAAGGTTTAATAGTACTAAGGAATCTTCAGCCTCACACAAAATAAAATAGTGTTATGTTTGGACATTAGCTAGCGTCACACAAAAAATTGGTCAACCTCGAAGACATTACTAATAAGAGGAGTAATACTAAGGAATCTTCAGTTTCAATTTTTGGTTAAATCAAGGTTTTTTCTTCTTGATAAACTGTGAAGAACCAAATTATTTCTGTCAATAAATAAATTATTAAAACAAAGACAGATAATAAAAATCTAATTTTCATTTTAATAGGGATTTTTTTTTTGGTTGTAATGTGCATTCATTAATTTCACTATTAGCTACTTTTGTTCTAGCAATAGTAGTATAAATTAACAAAATCAATATTGATACAGAATTTACTCTTTGTATGGTTATATATTTCTACACATCAATCATTATTTTGTATTTTTTTATAATATTAATTTTAATCCTTTCACACATTTCAAATTATTCATTTTGTCGTGACCCTAGTGAAAAGCATATTAAATGGCTACTTATTATTATCTTGTAGTAAGCATTTGCTTAATTGTTTTTAAAATTTAAGAAAAAAATATGTGTATACTTTGTAGTACATAAACATAATCTCATTTAATTAGTCTTTGGTGACACCACTTTTATTTAATATTCCACCTATACTTATACTTTTCATTTCACCACACAAAAGGCACAAACTATTATTGTAGTACGGATAGTTATAAATGTGACCCCAACCAATTTCAAACACATATGTTTGTCCACAAGTATGGAGGGGTCAGGAAAGTCTTTTCACCTCTGGAGTCGGCTCCACTCTAAATTTAGGCATGATTGTTTATGAAATAATTTACTCTATTTTATTTCATACTCAAAAGTTAAATCAAATTCAATATCTTTAATATTGTTTATATAATAAATTATTAAAATCAATTGTTTTTACACATTACATCAACTTTACTTTATTACTAGTACAATACACGTGTATTACATGAGTGCTTGTTGATTATTCTTAAATTTTAAAATTAATGAAAAGAATTATTTTATTTTAATTATTTTATTACAAAACATATTTATTATATATTTTAGAACTAGTATGAATATCGTGCAATGCACGAGTAAAAGATAGACAATTACATATTCTAATTTATTGACAATATTATATAAAGTTTAAATTGTACAAAATTACATAAATTTTCTCTTTAAAATTAGTACACAACCCGTGTGGTGCACATAACTGCTAATAAATCACATTATATCCGTTTCAACCCGTGTGGTGCAATTTCTATAATTCATCATTTGAAATATACCTTAAATTATAAATTAACTTCTCCAGATAGTAAATAGATTTTTTTGAGTGAAATCACTACTATTTTAAAAAAATAACCAATTATATATATATATATTCACCAGATTTGCAGTTTTATAAAATTTAACATTTAATGTTTGTTTCACCAAAACAATTAACATTTATTTATTCACCAAAATATTTGTTTGACGAAATATTTGATTTGAGTTTTATTCACCAAACATGTATAATAAATTAACATTTAATTCAAACGAAACTTGTATAAGTTTATTTGACGAAACATTTATACTTTTATATTAAATGCTAATTTATTTATAGATCAAAAATATTTTGGATTGTAAATAATAATAAAAAAAAAAAATCGGATATGCTTTCCACATTTTAAAGTGGGATTTGTTTCAATATTAACAAATCTAATCTCAAACATCTTAAAATTGATATGTTCATCTAACTACCGAAAATTTCAAACAAAAAATGAAGAATTGCGATAATGACCAAATTTCAAATTTGGGAAAAATTCAAATGATCCAGCTACATGCGGCATCCGGAAATTTTCAAATAAAATTTATCCGATTTTACTAAATCCCTTAAAAAAAAAGGAAATATTCGATTCGTACAAAATCCTTTCCAATAAAATGAATTCATTTTGAAACTATATTCCATATAAATCGGATTTAGATCAACTCCCTTTCAAAACAAAAAGAACTATTTGATTCCTTCAAAATCGCTTAAAAAAAAATGATTCCAACATACATATTGAAATAGTAGGTGGGAATATGAAAATGATTCAAAAAAATTGACCCAATAAAGTAAGAAAATGAAACACAAGCGGGAAAATAGAATAATTATTTTTGAGTTTTTCAAATATTTTTTCTTAGCCATATTATATAGTAATAGATGACCGGTCGCAGAAGAAGGCGGTCTTTGGAGTATCGGCCGACTATAGCGGCCGCCTAGTGGGAGCGATCGCAGGGCATAGGCCGGCTGTGTGGTAGCCGACCACGATCGTCTGCCGGCGATGCGCGTTCAGGCCGCGATTAGCGGCCGACCAGACTGAAAAATAAAATATTTTTAAATTGAAAACGGTGAAATTGTCTTTTTGGTAGCAGTAAGTAATACACTACAAGAAAAACTGCATTTGACGACGCTTATTAATGACGCTTATTGGTGAGTTGTGTTGCTAAATTTGATGTCAGAAAAAAATAAGCG